AAGGAACAAGTCTGCTATTAAAGGGGCACAATTGGTGCCCATAGGAATACCTACAATCTGTCGATAAACTTTCTTGCCGAAACGTAAATAAATGTTGTCAAGGAGAACATTTAGTGCTATAATCATCCATGTTAATAGGAGATTTCGGTTGTAAAATCTAACGAGGCTTAGCAAAGACGCTTATACACTTTCAACTTCTATTGGCTCTTTCTATATTGCCGTATTTACTCGGGTTTGATTGTGTAATGTCTGTTCTCTAAAATATATTACATATACACTCCGATAACGTCCAGTTCTTACTCTGATTATTTTATGGAATCTTGTAAGACCAACGAAACTATGAAAGAAGGTATCTGGTTAACACATAATCAATAAGTATTAAGAGCATATTCGAATACCACATAATCATTTTCAAAATAATTTTTAAAAAAATAAATAAAAGGGTACATAATATGCAAATTTAAAATCAGATACAAGCTTCAAGGACTCCTAAAACGATACGTGGAAGTGTTTAATAATGAAGTAATAAATTCTACTACGTACAGGTTTATGTGCTCCAAGGAGAGTCAAAAAGTAAACAATCATATCTTTACCACACCTCAGCTGAATGCCTCATCCAAGGTTGTAGGTATTCCCATTGGCGTCGAATGTGTTTAAAAAATATGACTTGATCCTGTATTGTTATGAGTCACTGTTTGTGGCCAAGCTTCGTAAAAAAACCCAAATCCATTTAATTTAAAAATTCAACAATACTGACCTTTATATTTTTATGAATAATCAACATTTGTTTAAATATACTTCCGAAAATCACCCAAAAGGAAATAATTTTAAATATATCAAATATAAATAGCAATAACTGTCCTTTCCAAGATTTAGATATTTCAATTTCACCCCGGAAACTTTAAACCTTTGGTCCTATCATACAGTGTTTATATATCACAACTCGTTCACTATGCCCTTGTCTGGAATGATGTTATACATTTCTATGAACGTAATCTATGTATTACTGCTAAATTATTCAGTCAGGGATTGCGTTACCACAACTAACTTAAAACGTTTACTAAAATTCTTTTAAAATTACAAGGATTTAGTTAAGAAGTTTGTTGTACCTGTATAAAACCGATTACAAATGGGATATCAGTAATAGTTATACACCGAGGGATAGGTGTGTCTGGATAAGAAACCCCGTCGGCCGGAGCGGTTTCTTATCCAGACACGCCGTATCCCGAGGTGTATAACTAACTTACACCCCATTCTAAACCCTATATTTGTAAACATTGATTATTAAATGAAAAAAAAAAAAAAAAATATTGACAATATCAAACCATGATTTATAAGAATTTTTTTTATTACATGAAACCCCACTAGTAACCTTTCTTAGGGTATCTTTGTTCAAACTTTGACAAGTGAGTATATTTTACAAATGTCAAAGTTGTTTTGCATATTCCCGTTAAATCCATGTGCTAATATGGATCAGCAGGTCAAGGTTGACTGTTTCGTGTATTCTTATTACAAACAAAAAATACATCATGCTCCTGGTATACAGTTGTCAATATGGGCGGGTATAAGACGGACGACATTTTGTGGCAAGCGTTGGATTTGGTAGAAGAGACTAAAGATAAAGGCAATATTATAACCCAAAGTACTTACCTGTATCAGTTTAATAAAGGTAATCATAACTGTATTTTATATCTTACGATTTTATCAGAAACAAAAGCCTCCCCTCCTCCTCTCGAGAATAAACAAACATTCATATTCGAACATACTAAAGGATAGGTGTGTCTGCATTAGAAACCCGACTACCAGACACGCTCAACATACAATATCTAATATTGAGGAACTCCCTTTTTTGGGGGCAATCAGGGACTGATCCAGCCGGGGGTTCCCAACTCAAGAGAAGAAGGGGGAAGGGGGTCCAACCATTCAAATTCATTGATCTTATAAATAAAAGTCGGGTCCAACCCGCGGAACCCCCAACCCCCGGATCTGTCACTGGGTAACCGGAAGGGGGGGGTGGGGGGGGGGGGGGGTGTCCGGGAGTTAGAATCCCCATTTTTTTTTTAAATATCAATGCTTTAGAATAGAGACATATGACTGGGATAAAAAAAAATTACCTTCAAGCAAAAGAGTATTTAAAGGATTATTTTTGTATTCCATAATTCCATATAGATGCTGATTGGAATTTCCTAAAATGTGTTATTTTAATATCATGAAACAACAATTTGTAGTGAACACTATTAGTAATTTCTTATGTTCATGCTATTTAAAAAATAATCAATTTCTGTTGTTACAAATAAAAATGGACTTTGTTTGCGGGATGTAGAAGCAGGGGTTTCCAGAAACCCCGCTCGTCACACCCTGTGGTCAAAATCCATTGTTATTCGTAACAATAGATCTATTCAAGTTACACTTGTTTCAGAAATAGAAACTATGAAGTATAACAATAGAACTGGGGTGTAACATCATATATTTTACGGTGATATTGTTTATAGAGCCCTTAAACTTAGATTCGATCCATGTAAACTTATCGATCACTAAAACAAACTTATTCTAAGGCATTATCAATGAGTCATTGTAATAAGTTTGTATATAGTTTTCTTATCGGTACAAACATTGATTTTGCTATAAATAAATCAAAGCATAATAAAGTTTTATTATGAGACATTTGCGGAAACTAGATCTTTACCTAGGATTACACTTAGACTTACGATTACAGTTGACGAAAACTATATCTCTGCTTTATATTTTAACTGCATTGAAAGATATTTGTTGTTTTATTTTTCTAGTTGATCTCGTTAGGCCGTCATAAATCAATTTATTGTAACAGAGCGCATTGAAATGCATAAAACTGACAAGTTGTCACAGCAAGCTAAGGTGGTCAGTTAGGGGAAACTAAGAAGAAAAAATCTAGACAAAAACAAACTAAAATCATATTAAACGTAAAAACCACGAAGAGCAACTGTTCTGAGAAGTGTTTCAAACTGGTCCGAGCTGTCTTAAAAGTTGTCCGAGTTGTCTTTAAATTGGCTCGAATTGTCTTAGTCCGATTTGCTTTTGGTCCGAGTTGTCCTGATAACACATCAAGCTGCCAAGGTGACATTGTTTACGATATTTCTTTGAAATCCCCTTGTTCAACAATAGAAAAACATCATAGGAGTTGGTCTTTGTTTGGAATCGACGGTTTATATTTTCACTTTGAAAAGACCCAAGATTTAAATGTTAGCTGTAAGTGTAATTGTAATCCTGATCGTAGGTGTATGCCAGTTTCAGCAGATGTCTAATATTCAGCTATGCACATTTACAGTCCTATATTCTGTCGATAATTATGTTTTGGCATTGCACAAGATCATGTTTTTCACTGACTCATAAAAATCTTCATGACGTCTTTACACTTAATTCATTTGATGTGTACTGATTGATGTTTTAATCTTGGATACATGACTTTTTCAATTTGCTGTTTTTTTTTTGCTTTGTACTAGCTTTCAGTAACTGCAAGTAATCTGAGATATGAATTTTGTGTGAAGTCTTTTTGTTGGTTGTTTTGTAGGAATGCTTTGTGTCGATCTCACGAGTCAAGTCATTTTCAACTGATGTTTATGGTTGTGTTCTTTTTCGTTTATTGTTATTTTACATAAATGAACCCGTTAGTTTTCTCGTTTGAGCTGTTTTACATTTCTTTTGTGCGGCTCTTTTATGACTTGCTATGCGGTATGGGTTTTGCTCAGTGTTGAATGCCATTGTTTGACATATAGTTACTAAAGTATACGCCATTTGGTCTCCAGTTGGAAACTTCTAATTTGCAATCATACCACTTTTTCATAATTAGTATAGTTGTCTAGTCAGCATAGATCCCGATGGTGTCCTAATCTCTATCGTGAAATTTTAAGTTTGGATTCGTGTGACGGTGGATGCATTTATAGTATACTCATCCTATCCACGCATAAAAGGCCTCACTCCGTTTGGAGTGAATGATATTTTTTTTATTCGAATATTAGAAGTAGACCAATGAGTTTTAAACATCGATTTTTAACTGTTGTCTCTTACTGAGTCTGAGTGACACTAAATACTCGATAATATTATTATTCTACCTAATATCTTTCAGAGCTGTTATGTATTCTTCTCCAATAGGTTTTACGTCAAGTCTATTTCCATATATTGCCTTTATGCCTTCAGCAGTCTTATTCAAATAATCTGTAATACATACTGTCAGCATAAAATCATATGTTTGTTCCTTTTAAGCACACAATTACACAAGCTTTACACTCTTTTTATTGATTTGGCGAAACAATGTAAAACGTTTCTTAGTGAAAAGAAGCTAGCATTATCCTTATATTTCACTGTATAGATAATTTCCTCTCACTAAATAATTCAAAGTATGGTGACTGTGTTGAATCTATCCCATCGAACTCGAAATAAATGATAAAACAGATACAGTTAAGTCTGCCTCATATGTTGACTTACATCTAGAAATTGACAATGAGGGTCGGTTGAAAATGAAACTTTACAGCAAAAAAGATGATTTCAGGCTTCCTAATTGTGATCACTCCATTTGTATGTAGTAAGATTCCAGCAGCGCCTGCATATGGAGTACATATCTCCCAGTTGATACGATATTCCAGAGCTTGCAATTCCTGTCATGAATTCCTTAATAGAGAGTTGCTTCTCACAAGGAAACTATTAGACCAAAAGTTCAAAGAGGAGAAGTTGAAATCATCCCTTCGAAAATGTTACTGACGCCATCACGAATTGGTTGACCGTTTCACAGATGACGACGAATATGTTCCAATTTTCGTAACCAAAATCCCGTCTCTTTTCATCGAATGCGATTTACCGATTTAGACTTATTACCGGGTTATCTACTTACACGAGGAACACAAATTAGTGCCACATATGGAACAAGATCTGCTATCTTTCCAGAGCACCTGAGATCACACCATGGTTTTGGTGGGATCAATGTTGAACAGACAGAATACTTGAATGTTTTAATTAGAAATACATACCTTGAGAAATATCTACCGGGACATAGGCTACCCGTTCATGCGTTGAAAGAAGTTGATCTATAAGCAGACGTGTTTTGTATGGATTTCCGCTTCCAAGATCAACAAGCATACTCGACTCTTTAACACAATCAATTATTTCCTACAAAATGACCATAAAAAGCTTTTCTTATTTTCTGAATAATTTTTAAAATAAACAAAAACAAACGGTAAACAATAGACAAATCAAGTAAAAAAATGAAATGTATAAAATCAGGATAATTATAATGTTTAGGTAGATTGAAGTAACCCCTGTTCAGTAAGAACGCATTATTAACCTAAGATCTATTTGAAGCTGTTTCAAATTTAGGTAGGCTTTTTTATGTTTAACTACTGGAAGTGTTTTACGACCTTGACTGCATATACATCCCTAGCACGGTCGGCTCGGTGCCCGAAGGCGTTTGGTGAGCGTTTAAATAATTTTGTGCCATCGGTCAGGAACAGGTGGAGGACGCCATTTTGGTAGGCCGCCATCTTGTTTTTGTGAGTTGTTTTGGTTTTTCTTTTGTTGACTATTTTGATGTTATGTCTTCACAACGGCTGCTTTCAGGGCCAGATTGGTCAGCTTGGCAGCCCGCTAACCTCGATGATGGAGTACTGGTAGATGAGTCTCGAACGTAGTATTAACGATGACAGGAAGCATTATCAGGACCAAAGTCGTGAGACAGTGAAATGGTGGTCATTCATCTAACACCTAGGATACAGCCCTCGGACGTCATACCACTCCCCCATCCATAATGGGTTTTGGAGTGTATGTTGACGCGGGAATTAGCCCTACGCGGATTATAGCCTAACGTAGTCTGTACAGCGTTGGATTGGTTTCTGTCATCGAAAGTAGTAAGTCGTTGATCCATCTAACAGTAAACCCTCATCGAAGATAGCGGGTAAAGGAGAACTGACCCAGCACGTCCGTTCAGTTGTAATGACTGAGACGTGACTAATGTGTGATGATGTGAGATGATTTTATGTTTAAGGATTATGGTATGAGCATATGTAGAGATATGTTGTATCTTTTGCTGGAATCATGCCCATATCATTTCACAGTTCGTGTCCAGTTCTTATACTTCATAGCTTAAAAACTTATTGTTTATGTCTATAGGGGTAAATTCAGTAAATAAATATACGTCGTCAGGGACCGCCCATTTGAGGGAGAGCTTTCTGTACAAAACTGAAGTCCTGTGCTCTTCTGATTGGTAGATAATGTTTGTAATAAATATTTTTTGATAAATGGATCAAAACTAGAGTTAAAAAAAAATTAAAAAATGAATGCTGAATGTACTATTTTTTTTTACTACAGGGTTGAAAAGTAATGGGGATCAGTAAAGGAATTAAGTGCGAATCTACAGTGTTTGTAAACAAGGACATGTGAATGCCCAAAAATGCCGCATGACCCTATGTTTTTATTGTTGCAAAAGATAGGGCTACATTTGTACTTTCATGAATGATATATGAAAGCTTCCAATTTCTAAAGGTAAATCAGGTATAAATTTAATTCAAGACATATATTAGCCTTAAAGTCAATGGGAGATTTTTTACTGAATTTACCCCTATAAGGATTCCACCCTATTTCTATTTTTCCCTCCTGGTAGATGTTATATTCTGGTGGAAAAAATTAACTGTTAGTAATTGATGATTCCAACCAAGTTTCTGCCATTATCATTACATAAAGCGTTGAACTATTTTTGAGGTTTTGGACTGGGTGTGTTATTACTTATTGACTGACAGTTAACATTTAGGCATTTTTGGTATAAATGATATATTTCTGTTTTCTTGCTTTCTTCTTGTTGGAGATGATGGGTTTACCTTCTACTAATAAGTTCAAACTGTAATTAGTTGAAATTGCTAAAAAGATGATACGGTACATTTGTTTTTTCTAAAATATAAATCAAAATGTTAAATACTTGAGACATGGCATGATGGTAGTTTTTGAAAAAGACAAGTGTTATAAAAAAAATATTGGAAACCAATGTTAACGACGTGTTGCATTTGAATGATCGATATTTTGACAACTCCCAATGAATGATTTTAATCTGGGGTTAGGATGGTTATGGTTTCGATCCCTGTCCGAGTCAAACCAAATGCTTTTTATTTTTACAATTTTTCCGAATGTTGAATTTCCATGGAAAAGGTGACCATCTCGCACCTTCCAAATGTCAGAGGCACAACTACACTTGGAGATCCTCAATATGGTAAAGTTCCATGAGAATTTGTCAAATTTTGAGAACTAGTTTGGACAAAAAAAATTATTTTTCCAACCCCAAAAGAAAAAAAGAAACGTAGAATAACATGTCAGCCCTACTCCGTTCGGGTGACTTAATTAAACAGACAACACTCGTTCAACAAGTAAAATCGAAAAAAAAGACAAATAAAACAAGCAAAACATTAAGTTTCCTCCTCTATATTTAGAAATTCACCAAGAACTAGTTTTCAAAAGTTAAGCATTAATGTCGGCTGTCGCGTTTTCTCTATGCAACCACAAAGATAATTCGCCCTTAAAAGTTTTTTTTAACAACCAGATTCATGTAAAAGTTTGCAGATACCATCAAAGATTGCTGTGGAATGATGATTTGTTCCCTATACTGTTTTTACAATTTATTACGGTGCATTACCATGAAATATTACACGACTTTAGTATTCTACTTATGCTAAAAGAACATCCAAAGTATACTAAAGAATGTTCATCGATAAATATGCCTTAAGCACTTACGGTATTTCTAAGGAACACTTTATTTAAAAAAATCAAAGGTTAGGGATGAATGAGTCCCATACGAAAAATATCAAAAACATTGCAATTATCAATTATAAAGTATCGTTATATTTCTCCGTGTTACCTGTAATGAGAATACGCACAAATGTAATAAAATACACGTATAATTGCACACGATCGTAAAAATATTTTATCCCCCTAGACATGCTTGCAAAGGTAATGCGCCTCCCCATGTAGCTGCCAACCTGACAAGTGAATTATGATGTCGCTTATATATATATATATATATATATATATATATATATATATATATATATATGATATTATAAATCAAATTTTATGCAAAATAAATATTTAACTTAAGACTTCATGAGCCGTTTAATATTGAGAGTAAATTAATGTTTGAATGACTTTGAAAATTAGGATTGTAAACTGCTAAATATTGAAAATCAAAGACATATTCAAATAAATATCATAAATCGTGAATGGTTTGAGTCAAACCCTTTTCAACTAATTTTTACAATTTGTTTTTATGTTTTGCTGTTACGCCACTGTCCAAGGTTATGAGGGGAATCAGCGCCCGCATACATATTTAACACCGCCACATTCTGTACTTGCCTGTCCCAAATCAGGAGCTTGTAATTCGGTGGTTGAAGTTTATTGCAGTATATCATATTTTTTTAAAAAAGTGTTGTGTTCATCCATCAGGACGTTGCCTTTTCTTGCTTTAAATAATTGGTTCTAATTTCTTCATGTCCGAGCCTTTTATAGCTTGCTATGTGATATAGATTTTGCTCATTTTTTAAGGCCATACGATGACCTATCAGAATGTAATGTGGTCTATGTGAATAGCTGTCACCTTATAGCGGTCTCGATGGCGTTCATTACATATTTTTCATATTTATATCAACCATTCAAAGAGGGTAGCGGATGCTGGACATTTTTTTTTTCTTTCAAAACACCGAATATCAAACTAAAAAAACCTCGTTTCCATTTTTGAATAATGGGAACAATAAATAAAAAAGTAAATAAAAAGGTGGAGTTAAATCTTAATAGATCTATATAAAAATCAGATATACTTGAAAAGGAGATACAAATTAAAAAACACCATATATATGTAGTGAAATATTTTGAAATGTCGCAAACAAAGAATGATTATACTTCCATATCTTATTTTCTTATCTTGAGTAAAGTATAGGTTTCATAGAACCCGTTTACTTTTTGAATACAAAATGCGAATATTTTTTCTTTATATTACATATGTAATGTTATGACATTGACATTATTTATAAATAGAATAATCAGTAAAAGTTAAAAAGGCTACTGAAAATTGTCTTAATCAATGAGAGAATTTTACCAAGAAGTAAAATGTATGACCACTCATAAATTGAATTACAATAGCAATTAGACACATTCTTGCTAATTTTCGGAATTCATGTACATTTTGTACCCGAGATCACCCAATGTTTATATTGGGGTTCTTATTGCTCAGTATTTAGTTTTCTATGGTGCGACTTGTATACTGTTTTTTTGGTATTTTTCTTTTTTATTCATGGCGTTGTCATTTAATTTCGATTTATGAGCTTGAATGTCCCTTTCGTATCTTTAGACTCTCGTGTACGACAACATTATTTTGCAACATTATAATATCTAACCGTTTTCTTTTTTTTTTGTCTTTTTCCGTACATATTTCTAATAAATTTACGTACATTTACCATTATAAACATCTAATAAACTTTTGCAAAGTATAAAAATCAAATAAAGGTTTAAGACCCCCCCCCCCCCCTCCCCCTTCCAACTTTTACCTGTCCCCGATCAGATGTGATTATGAATTCGTTGAATGTAAAAAGACACTGTAAGATATTTTTGCTTTGATACACATGCAATTGTTTGTTTAAGGACGACCAGTAAGTAGATGAAAAAAAATGTATTTACCTTTGTATGGGCCAGCCAGTAAATATAAACCTACAGACATGGCGATCATCAAAATATCCATTTATAAATACAAGAACAGAAATAAAGGCGAAAAGCGGTTGTTAGATATGTTTGGATAGTAGATTAAAAAAATATTTTAAAATCATGGATTAAAGGCTGATCCACTATAATAAAATTGAAAGTAAGATCAGACTCTCATTTATAACTTTTTAAAAATTAACTGACAGTAATTTCCTCTAAACTTGACTGATGTTTGAGTGCCGTATTGAAGCATTTTTTAAGAAGATACATATGAATTTGTCTCAATTTTTGCTAATTTTATGAATTTTACAATCCCATTTGAAATATTTTTTCCTCATGCATTTATATATTGATTTAAAAATAGGGTTTAATAATTTAAATTTTTTTTTTAAATTAACATTGATTCACTCATAGGGTCTTGTCATCGGAAATAAACACATTTATTCTAAAACTAGTTGTTGGCATGATACGGGTTATGTTCTCATTGTCATTGTACGTGATCAAATTTTGAATAATTGTTATGTCAATGTATATAGTAACTTGAGATTATCAATATTGTCAAGCTTTCAGTGTTAGGGACATGCATCATTGCAGAATCTAAGCCAACCTTGAAAAAATAATTTAAACTTGACCTCATAAATCTATGCGTTCGTATATCAAAACATATCAACCGAATACTCCTCATGTCAAAATTAGAAATAAACTCTTCATAGATACCTTGATTAAAAATGTGTACGCCAGAGGCGCGTTTTGTCTGCAAAAGACTAATCAGTGACGTTCGAATCCAAAAAGTTATAAAGTCAGAAGTTGAAGAGCATTGAGGACCCACAATTCCGAAAGGTTTTTGACAAATATTAAAAGAGCCATTCCACTGTTATCTCTAAGAATCTGTCATGATAACTTCAGAACAAACTTGTTAAGTATGCAATAAACAAGTTGTTACTAGGAACTCCACGAAGTCTAAATATATCACGACTAGCCACATACTTGTTTATGAAAAACAACCTTAAATTTCAGGAACGTCAAAATAATTGCTGTTGTTGACAGGTGTACCCTCATACCATACATGACAAATATCTCAAATATGATACATTCAGATCATCATACTAATGACAATAGCAATAATCTTCGTACGCGGCCGTGTTCATTTTTCTACAAGACATTTTGTACTTGAATGCCTGTGAACAGCACTGTCTTATATCTAAATGTAAAACCAAACACTGGAAAACCTGAAAATTTTAATAACACATGATCGATTCACTAGCAATTTAACTGAAAAAATCTTACTTTACCAAAAGCTACGATGATCTGAATTGTTAATAAAATCTCGTCTACGCATTACAGTGTAACCTTTGCAGATGGGAACTCCATCAGGCCAAGTTGACCTTAGATGGGTTTGGATATTTTCTAGGTCCTTTTTGATAATATAGATCTTCAACTGTTTTGGTTTTTGTACATCCCTGGCTTTCAAATATTCGGCTTTGAACATTCCAGATGAAGGTAAATTCAGAAAAGCGCTTCGGACGCATACAATTTATAACTTGTTGTTTCCATTTTTTACAGCACTTGGTCGATACCTTTGCTGGTGGACTTTAAGTCCCCGAGTGTATCATCAGCCCAGTAGTCAGAATTTCGGTACTGACATGATTTATAACAAACCTTCCTAAAATTTTCCGCTAATAAATTTTGAAATTATTAGAAACTAAGGTTTCAACTCCCTCAGGCAAAGTTGACCTTAGATGGATTTGGCTATTTTGCTATTTTCTATGTCCTTTTTGGTTATATAGCTCTTCAACTGTTTCGGTTTTTGTACATCCTTGGCTTTAAAACATTCGGCTTTGAGCGTTCCTGATGAAGGTAAATCCAGAAAAGCGCTTCTGAAGCATACAATTTATAACGTATTGTTTTAAATTTTTTGGTATATGTCGGTGAAACGAAAGAAAGACTTAATAAACGTATGTGCTGCCATAGATCAGACATCAACAGCGATGCAAGCGACAATGTTTACCAGCATTTTAATCAGCCTGATCATTCTATCCTTTCTATGCAAGTTTTCACCATCGAAAAAATATACCACAGGACTAACAATCATCATCTTGCAACGCCTCTCCGTAGACAAAAGGAAGACTACTGGATTCGACTATTGGAAGGTGACAAAATTGAAAGTATTGGTAATCTATCTAGTCCTTCCTGTAGCTCGGTGAATTTGATGAACATATTCAACTCTACTCCTCGACGTAGACGCAATCATGGTCATCGTCTTTATACATCACCTTCTGTCCATGATGTCTTTATTAATGACCTGCTGCCATTTATACAACAGCCGTTAAGTATGCATCATATTCGCACGAAGCTTTATTTATTACCCCTTTCAAAACTTCATTCTCTGTACAACTTATGTTTGAAAACCACTGTTACAAACCCCCGTTCAAACCAATACAAACTTTAAGCTATCATCTCAGATATTGCCAGTCACAGACTTTTCAAAACAGTTCGCATCGGAAAAGATGAAAAGGGGAAAAGATCCTTTCTAAAACTTTCCTTTTCCAACAAAAGTCTCAACTTGGGCAATGTCCTTCATCATAAATCAGTTCACACGAAAATACCTCCCTATTCTAAAGATCAGTCGGTACCTATCATATCTTATACTCATACCAAACCAATTGCAACACAAATGTTCAATTAAAAACACGTGTTGCATGATCTCAATATTGACGACTTCAAGTCTAAACCTCCTGATTGCACCTGTATATGGTAATTCCTCATTCATATATAATCAGCCGCCAGGTTATTACTGGTGACCTTAACATTGTCAATAACACTTTTCTGCGAAATGTGTTATCCAAAGACCCGAAATATCTTGAGACTTAATCCATCAATTTGAAACATAACTTTAATACTGATGTATTCAGTCGAGGATTATGCCAGGCAATGGGTTAAACGCGAGAATGAAGACACTTTCATCTTGCAATAGTATTAAAACACTTGACTTTTCTACACTTTACACAAGTATTCCCTATTCCAAACAAAAAGACAAATTAAAAGAGTAGGTCCTTCTTTGTTTCATAAAAAAGAATGGGCAACGTAGATACAAGTATCTTGTCTCAGAGGGGATAACTCGTACTTGGTAAAAAATCACTCTGATTCAAACAAAAATTTCTATAAATCTGACATTATCAAGATGCTTGATTTCTTGATTGACAATATATTTGTTATGTTCGGAGGACGTGTTTTTAACAAACAATTGGCAATCCCACGGGAACCAGCCTCTTCTTGCCGACTTGTTTCTTTATTCATATGAGGCTGACTTCATACAAGAACGTCTTAGGAAGAAAAAAAAAGAAGTTAGCAGTTTCCTTTAACTTCACTTTCCGCTATAAAGATCATGTTTTCTCACTAAATAATTCAAAATTTGGTGCCTATGTTGAACGCATCTATCCTATCGAACTTGAGATAAAGGTTACAACAGATACAGTTAAATCTGACTCATATCTTGACTTACATCTATAAATTGAAAATGATGTCGGTTGAAAACAAAACTTGATGACAAAAGAGATGATTTCAGCTTCCCACTTGTGAACATTCCATTTCTATATAGCAACATTCCAGCAGCACCTGGATACTATCGTGATTGTTGATTTTTGTCATTTCTCTTTCTTCTTCATTCACAATTTTATTTAAAACCGTCAAATCTCTAAAATTCTGAGCAGTTGCTTGTTTACCCTTTTTCGATTATAGCTTGAGCTTATCAAAACAACGGTTTGTTATATAATCCGACACGGTAACTGCATAAACTGCATACAGTTATACATTGAGATATAATATAGCATACATGTATATGTTTTACATTTACTTACATCCAACACGTCTGTAAGAAGTTTCACTTCAAATCGATGAAAATAATACCACTTGCACTGATCTATACAGACATCATTTAAATGAGACCCCTCTTCGTCATATCGGTACCATGCTGGTATATACACTGGACGGGATTTAAGTCCTTTCTGTAGCTCTACCTTGATCTGGTCGTTCATTCTTTTATCTTCAACTTCAATATAAAATGCAAAAAGGAATTGATCTTGGGTTGTTTGGTGAGGGTAAGATGATATTTCCCTCCCTGTTACGTTCTTGAAATATGAAAATGTCTTTGCCCTCTTTTTTAACCACAATATTTAAAAAGACGATAACAAAATTAGTATATTGGATGTAATTATTATTATTACACCATGGGCTTTTTTTCGCAAATATTGTTTTTAAAGTGCCTTGCTCCTTTTTATACTTAATCAAAGGGATTGCAAATGGTATAAACACTTACTAAATGTGCATTTAACAACAATATAAAACCATATCGGTCACGGAAATTGTTCTCAAATAGCTGGAGTAATTAAGGCTTTTTTTTAAATTTTTTCACGCTTCGGTATACAATGTGAATTTAATGTAATGACGTCAGTGCTATTGCATGAAAATAACACTTTATAAATTTCTTGCGTCCAAAGAGTTTTTCTGGATTTTACATACATTCAGAACTCACAAAGCTAAACATTTAAGCTTAACAAAACAAATGTTTGTGATATATTCCGACACGGTAACTGCATAAAGTTATATATTGAGATATAATAGAGCATAAATGTATATATATTTAGATGTATAAACAAGTCTTGATTGAAAACAACGTTCAAACCTATGATTGCATTGGATAAAAACCGCAATTTTTATACGTGTGCATGCAAAACAAATTTCTTGGTAGAGGGGTCTAAATACAGCACAAACAACATTTTCCAAAAGACATAAACAGTGAAAAGTATATTTTAACAATTTCTACAATATCTACGTAAATGTACATAGAAAAATTAGGAGCTATATGACCTTGTATGCCGATTTTTGGTGGATATTGTATTAGTATGAGAACAACAAAAAAACTCATCAAAGATTTAATTAGGTTTATAATTTTGCACGCCAGAGGTGCTACTCATCTAATAAACACTCATTAGTGACGGTCGAGTAAAAAAGTCAAAATGCCAAATAAAATAGGAAATCGAAGAGAATTGAAGGGCCAGAGTTTCGAAAGGACAAGTTACCGTCACTTGTGAATGAGCTACAACATAATGTCCTATTAACTTGATCATTAATGCCATATTTTGTTTTCGTGTGGCAAGATGACAGAGTGTTATGTCAAATAAACCAAAAATATTGTTATTCCGTCTACACATTCTTAATGTTTGTTCCTATCATTAAATCTGAAATGAATAAGGTTTATCAATTTAAAAATCTAGCGCTTCTTAATTACAATGTTGTTTGTTTGGTTGATATTATATGACATAATTCATTATCTTTTATGAGCATAAAGTTTAAAACATGAAATTGTATCTGTCTTTTTTTTTATCATAGTTAAAAAATTGCACACATTTTGACGGCTAAAACCTGACGATTCTGAAAATTGAGTATATGCGCTTTTCACTAAGGAATTATAATATATGATTCACTGAGGGTATATGCAGGTATCTTTTTCAGAGATAAAGTACATGGCTTTGAAATATACATACACATAAGATATTATTAGGTTACAATCTGTAATGCAAAACAAACTTGAAACAGTTTAGAACCACGAAGAAATGTCAATTATAACTATATGTCAAGCACAACTTTAACAATTAGAGACACCACCTATTTCGGTGTGTATATCGGGGACGGACAAAACAAACTTGAAACAGTTTAGAACCACAAAGAAATGTAAATTATAACTTAATGTCAAGCACAACTTTAACAATTAGAGACACCACCTATTTCGGTGTGTATATCGGGGACGGATGGACGCCAAAGGGTGATGATCTATATAATACAGCTTTTAAACTAATTAAATTTGCAATATATGTTTTTTTGACATTCTTTTTATCAAGTATGGCGAATTATATGAACAGTACTGAATTTACAGCAGTGGATACGTTTGAAAATTAAACGAAAGACTAAAAATGCCTGAATAATTTATTGTTCAGACTTTTCAGATGATGTTAAGATCAGAATGACTGTTTCAGACTAAAATTCATTTAATAGTGAATGGAAGTGAATATTGGGAAAATTCAATATCCTTGAAGGTTACCTTTACATCTTAGGTTTAGGGACATTTAATATCACTAGTTTGGGGTACCCTTTAAACCATTCGAAATGCCGGTTGGCGTACATTGTTGTGCATATGTTGTCATTGGAATATCCGTAACGGTTAAATTACCTAGTAGAAACATATTTTAAATTAAATCTGATAAGTCATGTTTATATTGATTTTTTAATGTAAAGTAATGAATAAATTGAAAATCAGTGGAAATATCAGATGATGCATTTAATTTTGCAAACACTGCTTAATTCCTGAGAACAATTACCGTTTGCATAACAGTAAAATCACAAAATTCTATGCAATTTGGCCGTTTGAAATTAACGAAACCTTTTATGAGTCATCCTGCTCTAACCTGTCTACTCACTTAAGATATTTGGAATGATGCTAGACGATTTTTTTTTCACTGCACTAAGTAAATGCTGCAGGTTAATACGATTCAAATGTGTATCATTGTAAATATACGGAGTAAGAAATATGTATTAATAAAGTATCTATAAAATTGAGAATGGAAATGGGGAATGTGTCAAAGAGACAACAACCCGACCATAGAACAGACAACAGCAGAAGGTCACCAACAGGTCTTCAATGCAGCGAGAAATTCCCGCACCCGGAGGCGTCCTTCAGCTGGCCCCTAAACAAATATATATACTAGTTCAGTGATAATGAACGCCATACTAAACTCCAAATTGTACACAAGAAACTAAAATAAAAAATAATACAAGACTAACAAAGGCTAGAGGCTCCTGACTTGGGACAGGCGCAAAAAAAACCATGTTTATGAGATCTCAACCCTCCCCCTATACCTCTAGCCAATGTAGAAAAGTAAACGCATAACAATACGCACATTAAAATTCAGTTCAAGAGAAGTCCGAGTCTGATGTCAGAAGATGTAACCAAAGAAAATAAACAAAATGACAATAATACATAAATAACAACAGACTACTAGCAGTTAACTGACATGCCAGCTCCAGATTATGTGTATCATAATCATACTTACACGAAAAACAGTGTTACTGTTTTTAAAAAAGTATAACAAAAATACCGAACTCCATGTTAAATTAAAAAAAGTCTTTAAAAAACTGACAAAATCAAACGTCAGAATTTAATCAAACAACGAAACGAGGAAAACAAGTGTACTGGAACAAAGTTTATTTACCGTGAATTATATTTAAAATGATATTCTATAGTTCATGTGTATGATACGGACACGGGCACATTAATAAAGTCAATGAAATGGAGCATATAGAATATATGTCTTATTAATTGTGAACTCATTATAAGATATATTACATTGAAAATAAATAAATGAATAATTATTCTCCATTTAGGAGATGCAAATACACAGAAAATAGACCTTTTGATATGATTTAAATATTAATTCTTAATCTAGCGGAAGGATAGCTTAGACGATAATAGGATAAAGATGTCATTAAAGTAGTGTTAAATGTAAAAAGTAAGTGTCACTGTATATAAAGTAGTGTTGTGTGACATTTATCATCAATTATTTGTCATTTTATTAGCATTTCCCATAATTAAGTCTCCAGACGAAGAATGGCCACGCGTTGATACATTCGTGTGACGCACAATTCATAATTGTATTGTGGTGTAAATGGGAACTATTATATTATTTATGTATGTCTCTGTCCTGAGTGTTCTTGCGTTTAGTTGTAATGTATTCCTGTCACGTAATGTTGTCATTTTAGCAGTATTTTTAACATTGTCATATAAGCGAGAGGTTTGGCTAGCCATAAAACCAGGTTTTCAACCAACCATTTTTTCTTAAAATGTCCTGTACCAAGTCAGGAATATGGTGTTTGTTTTTGTAGCAGTTCAGTGTTTATATGTTCCGTTGTTTTCCTCTCATAGTTGATGTGTTTCCCTTAGGTTTGGTTTGTGACCCGGATTTGTTTCGGTTAAGTCGATTTATGACTATTAAACAGCGGTATACTACTGTTGCCTTTATTTACCATGAAAATTGCAACAAATATTGATATTTTTTTTTATAACATTCTATATGTTTTATTTTCAAACCATACCTAATGGAAATGTATGGAAGTGTTGATGTGCAGACAGTATTAACAAATTCTAAATGGGCAGCTGTTTCCATGGAAACAGGGGTTAAGTTGATAACAGAACACTAAACACATCTAAGTATAGCATTTCCTTACCAAATATTTGATTGAAGCAGTGGAACCTAATTGATATGTTACCTGTCCTGTTTTAATGAGGCATCAGTCCCAGTTTCAAAATCGCACCTGCTGACCTGGAAATTTCCTCTGTGTGCAGCATGCTCGCACCTACACTTGTCCGCAGCATGTCCCAGAAACCGCTAGTCAGATTTATTTAAAAAATGGCCACTGTTTATTTGGAAACAGCAAACATATGATAATTTGTAAATTCTCCAAACTTAATTGAAATTTAAAGAGATGTTTACTGGCATATGAAGGTATACCATCTAATTTTGGAATTTTCAAAATAGCTGCCGTTATCATGGAAGCAGGAAAAATGCAAAAGAACAAATCCCAACTTTCTGAAAATAAAAAAAAATTAAATATGTTGTCATGCATACATGTGCATTCACTGTTTAAAGTTTCCAATAGCTGCCTTAATTATGTCAACTACAAATTCAAGTTGTCATCCACTATAGCTGGCAATTGAAATTCTTCTTAAAATAATAGTCGCGATTAGTAGGGTGCCCAATGTCCAAAAAGTCCTCGAGTTAACGAGTTTAAGTTAACGGATAACACACGGCTGATTTTTTTGCACATAATAGGAAAATCATTATATTTTACAATCATGATTGTCGTCGTAAGTTCCCGTGGTCACGATTTTCTAAATTTCGTGTTTTTATAGGGTACACCCAGATACCGTATTGTACGGGGAATTTTTAACATGAAAAATAAAATTATTGCGTACTTTGTTGGT